CACCTGTAGTCCCGTTCACCTGGCAAGCAAGTAGGTACCCGGGTGTTAGTCGACTGGTGTGGGTCGCATCCTGAGAGACATAACTGAGGACCCAATGGAAATAAGACAGACAGGCCCTCAATGATGCAGTCTTTCTTGGTTTATCCTGGATGGCTAACTCTCCGGGCTTAGAAATCCGAACAAAATCTTATCTCACTAGCATATATATATATATATATATATATAAACACTGATCTCTGGCTGAAGGAGACTCGAACCTACGAACCTTAGGACAAGGTACGCAGTGCTTTACCAATCTACCCACACTGGACCAATACCTTGGCGTGTAGCATGAGCTACACGTTTGATCCAAGGCAGCCAGCTTTCAGGGAGAAGGCTTACAGCTTCCGTTGATCCAAGCTGGCTGCCTTGGATCAAACGTGTAGCTCATGCTACACGCCAAGGTATTGGTCCAGTGTGGGTAGATTGGTAAAGCACTGCGTACCTTGTCCTAAGGTTCGTAGGTTCGAGTCTCCTTCAGCCAGAGATCAGTGTTTGTGTATATTTCGCATGCTCTCGCGAATTCCTTGCATATATAATAATATATAATATATATATTATATATATATATATATATATATATATATATATATATATATATATATATTTTTTTTTTTTGTAGCACTACACCGAAGGCAAACCAATGCTTATACATGAACTAAAAAAAAAAAAAAACTGAATTCTAAACAAAACTTACCTATTGGATCTGACATGTAGGCTTGCATATTTCCGAAGTCCTTAGTACCCTTTTCCTGAATCCATCGATAATTTTGAGCCAGGTTGGTACCACAGAGGTCCTTGTAGCAGGTCAGACCTATATGTAACACCCACTTCCCTTCTTCATTGTTCCATCCTGCCAGTCGAAACTTATCTCCATTATATAAGCGAGGGTTCTGCGCACATTTGGCTTCCCATACTTTATTGATTTGCTGTTCAACATCGAGGGATGAACGTCGAGCGAACTTGGAAGGTTCAAATTTAGCGGTGACTTGTGTGTGAGTGACGGGCGTGTGAGAGGACACCAGCTGTACCTGCTCCTCCCACCACTTCACACGCTCTATACTCATGTTTCTCATGGAATGATACACTCTTCTTGATGTAACCATGCACACAACAAGTCTCTGATGCTTGCAAGCCATATAACATAATATATTTATAGAAACAGTTTGTAGTTTTTGTAGTAAATCACTAAAATATGTTAACCACTTGTACCTTCTTGTGGGAGAGAGAAGGTTGGCACCCCTTGCTCTCCCATATTCATTTTTTCGTCTCTCTTATATTAAGGTTGTGCAATAAATGACCACTCTATTTACTAATGCATAGCAATCAACTTCTTAATTTATTTAATCAGGATCGTTACAAGCATCTATATATAAAAGAATGAGATGTCTTATTGTAGGGCTACCAACCTGCCTGACAGTGTCGGATATAAACAAACTTGTAATCTACACTGTGTCAAGCATCACTCCAGTCACACGCAGGAGTTTTACGTACTTTTGGTAACTTCGGGTGAAGTTCATTGATGCTGGTGATATGTTCTTAATCCAAAAAATTGAATCTCTCCTCCCCTACCTTGGATCGAACATGATTGCCTCCCTTTCTCCCAGACCATGTATGGCCCCTACGAATTTAGTGCCACCTCCCCTTCATGAATGTATTTATAATAACATTTAACATTAGATATATTATAACTTAAAAAAGGCAAATAACAAAACTAGCAATTTGCTAATAACAGACAAAAGGCATTTCAGTATTTATAGGTAGATATTGAAATGGAAAGGCCCCAACTCCTCTAAAAATTGGACTTTAACAAAAATTCTTCTTACAGTGATAGATGTACCTTCTCATTGACAATGTTGTAAAAAAAAAAAAGACGGACAATTGAGTCGGAGTAGACCTGTGGATTCCATCTCACATTTGTCTTCAGATGCATGACAGAACTGATGAATGGGCTAAGTTAAATCTTCTTCTTAAAGATTCGCCGGTATTCTCCCGGCCCGGGCCTTTTCCAAGTGGTGGCCCGGCCTTGGCTCCCTCTTTAGGGAGTGTCTGAGACCTAAGTCTCCCATGGGAGGAGGCACAAGTACCTCCTCATCTTTGGGACCAACTGTCCCAAGGCCTAGCCACAAGCTAGGCCTCTCTGGTCTGCCATCCCCGCCCCAATGAGGCAAATGGGAATGACAGTCTTATGAGCTAAAGGCTCGGGCTCTCTTCTCTCTCTACTCTAAGTTAAATGTTTTCAAAGAGGACGTAGAATAAAATTTTGGGCTGTCAGCAGTTTGAGAACAATAATACGAAAAGAACTTCAACTGAACTTTATTGACCTAAGACACCATCATTCATTATTCTATCATACACGAGGAGGCACATGTCTACGGTGCATCCAACAAAATAAGCAGACAAGTCTTGGATGTCCTTACAGCTCAGCTCCGGCTGGGATACAACTACAGTGGCCACGGTTTGCTATAACAGAAGGTTTATATAACGAATATTTACATAACAAACGGTTTTCCTCATACAACTGAAAATATTAAAAAGTTAATAAAGATAAAAGCAATTCGTGTATAGGAGTTACTACAGAGGACTTGGGAGGATGACTCCTCTATCCAACTCTTCTCAATAATTCTCTCCTCCTTTAAATAGAATAAAGAACAGTATTTTTTATTTTTTTTGTGCCAATTTTTATTTTTATTACGTGTTAATGATATACTTTATTTCAGGAGTTTAAATGCACATTTACGCATTTTTTTTACAATTTATATTATATTTTTCATTGTTAAGTGGTTGTATTTGGGGGCCTGGAACAGATTACCCCTATAACGAACGAGCGCTATAACGAACGAGCACTATAACGAATGAACGCTATAACGAACGAGTACTATAACGAACGATCGCTATAACGAACAAGGTTCTAGAACCAATTAGAATTGTTATAGCATACCCCAGTGTATCTTTGGGAAGTTAAATCACCACCACCAAATGTATACCAAATAATTAAATTTTATATTAATATATATATATATATATATATATATATATATATATATATATATATATAAACACTGATCTCTGGCTGAAGGAGACTCGAACCTACGAACCTTAGGACAAGGTACGCAGTGCTTTACCAATCTACCCACACTGGACCAATACCTTGGCGTGTAGCATGAGCTACACGTTTGTCCTTGGATCAAACGTGTAGCTCATGCTACACGCCAAGGTATTGGTCCAGTGTGGGTAGATTGGTAAAGCACTGCGTACCTTGTCCTAAGGTTCGTAGGTTCGAGTCTCCTTCAGCCAGAGATCAGTGTTTGTGTATATTTCGCATGCTCTCGCGAATTCCTTGCACATATATATATATATATATATATATATATATAATATATATATTATATATATATCTTTAAACGTATAAGAGAAAATTTTAGAAAGGACTTAATTTTAAATGAGTTCTTGCTAACTGACCAGATTTACCTATTCGGCACGAACACACACACACACACACACAACACACACACACACACACACACACACACACACACACACACACACACACACACACACACACACACACATACACACACACACACACACACACAGGTCATGGAGAAGATCATCAGGAGGAGAGTGGTGGAGCACCTGGAAAGAAACAAGTGTATAATTGACAACCAGCATGGTTTCAGGGAGGGAAAATCCTGTGTCACAAACTTTTTAGAGTTTTATGACAAGGTGACAGAAGTAAGACAAGAGAGAGAGGGGTGGATCGACTGCATTTTTTTTGGACTGCAAGAAGGCCTTCGACACAGTTCCTCACAAGAGGTTACTGCAAAAGCTAGAGGATCAGGCACACATAACAGGAAAGGCACTGCAATGGATAAGAGAATACCTTACAGGGAGGCAACAACGAGTCATGGTACGTGATGAGGTGTCAAAGTGGGCCCCTGTGACAAGCGGGGTTCCACAGGGGTCAGTCCTAGGACCTGTGCTGTTCTTGGTATATGTGAATGACATAACGGAAGGGATAGACTCAGAAGTGTCCTTGTTTGCGGACGATGTGAAGTTAATGAGAAGAATCAAATCGGATGAGGATCAGGCAGGACTACAAAGAGACCTGGACAGGCTACAAGCCTGGTCCAGCAACTGGCTCCTTGAGTTTAACCCCGCCAAATGCAAAGTCATGAAGATTGGGGAAGGGCAAAGAAGACCGCAGACACACTATAGTTTAGATGGCCAAAGTCTGCAAACCTCACTCAAGGAAAAAGATCTGGGGGTGAGTATAACACCGAGCATATCTCCTGAGGCGCACATCAATCAGATAACTGCTGCAGCATACAGGCGCCTGGCAAACCTACGGATAGCGTTCCGATACCTCAGTAAGGATTCGTTCAAGACTGTATACCATTTACGTCAGGCCCATACTGGAGTATGCAGCACCAGTTTGGAATCCACACCTAGTCAAGCACGTCAAGAAATTAGAGAAAGTGCAAAGGTTTGCAACAAGACTAGTCCCAGAGCTACGGGGATTGTCCTACGAAGAAAGGTTGAGGGAAATCGGCCTGACGACACTGGAGGACAGGAGGGTCAGGGGAGACATGATAACGACAAAATACTGCGCAGAATAGACGATGTGGACAAAGACGGGATGTTCCAGAGATGGGACACAGACACAAGAGGTCACAATTGGAATTTGAAGACTCAGATGAATCAAAGGGATGTTAGGAAGTATTTCTTCAGTCATAGAGTTGTCAGGCCGTGGAATAGCCTAGAAAGTGAAGTAGTGGAGGCGGTAACCATACATAGTTTTAAGGCGAGGTATGATAAAGCTCATGGAGCAGGGAGAGAGAGGACCTAGTAGCAATCAGTGAAGAGGCGGGGCCAGGAGCTATGACTCGACCCTGCAACCACAAATAGGTGAGTACAAATAGGTGAGTACAACACACACACACACACACACATACACACACACACACACACACACACACACACACACACACACACACACACACATATTATTATTATTATTTTTTATTATCACACTGGCTGATTCCCACCAAGGCAGGGTGGCCCGAAAAAGAAAAACTTTCACCATCATTCACTCCATCACTGTCTTGCCAGAAGGGTGCTTTACACTACAGTTTTTAAAACTGTAACATTAACACCCCTCCTTCAGAGTGCAGGCACTGTACTTCCCATCTCCAGGACTCAAGTCCGATCTGCCGGTTTCCTTGAATCCCTTCATAAATGTTACTTTGCTCACACTCCAACGGCACGTCAACTATTAAAAAACATTTGTCTCCATTCACTCCTATCAAACACGCTCACGCATGCCCGCTGGAAGTCCAAGCCCCTTGCACACAAAACCTCCTTTACCCTCTCCCTCCAACCCTTCCTAGGCCGACCCCTACCCCGCCTTCCTTCCACTACAGACTGATATACTCTTGAAGTCATTCTGTTTCGCTCCATTCTCTCTACATGTCCGAACCACCTCAACAACCCTTCCTCAGCCCTCTGGACAACAGTTTTGGCAATCCCACACCTCCTCCTAACTTCCACACTACAAATTCTCTGTATTATATTCACGCCACACATTGCCCTCAGACATGACATCTCCACTGCCTCCAGCCTTCTCCTCGCTGCAACATTCATTATCATGTGGGGTTCGAACACGTGGATAGGGTAAAGTAATACTCACGTAGGCTGGTAGTACATATAATTATAACGGTAGTATGGAAGAGCCAAACAGGCGTGACCTGCCTCCTTGCTCACTCTCGTCAGACTAACTAACCCCAGCACCCATATGTGAGGGGGTGTTTGAATACTGCTAGTGCAGCAACAATATGAATACAGACAGTGATTCACGCAGAGATGGTTGGTAGTGAGTCATCTACTGGTACACTGGTTACTGGTAACTGGTACTACTACTGAGAGCTCGGCCGGGGAGACCTCATCCACTTCACTGGATCAATCTGTTCCACCAGTTGAGGAGAAAGACTTAGCTCCCACTGACTTCCCAGATGAAGTCAAGCGTTTGTTGACTCCGTTGAACAAACGTCGTAAAGCCATTGCCTTACCAGGTGAGAAGATGGGTATAACAAACTTATTGTCCCATCGTATTCCACTTGAACCTGGTACTAGACCTATCTACATACCTGCGTACAGAATGCCTCATTCACAAGTTGCTGTCGCAGAAGAATTGATCAATCAAATGCTTGATGATGGAGTTATTGCACCTAGCAATTCACCTTGGAAT